CCTTTGATGGGCTAATTATCACCAAGCAAAGAATTTGAGACTTCAAAGAAATATCAATGGAAACTTCCAAAACTGAAATGCAAATGAACAAACAAAACATGGGGCCGGTGCTGTGGTGTAGCGGGTAAAGCCACTGCCTGCAGTGCCAGCATCCCATATAGGCGCCGGTTCGAGTCCCGGCTGCTCCTCTTCTGATCCAGCTCTCTGCTATGGCCTGGGAAAGCAGTAGAAGATGGCCCAAGTGCTTGGACCCCTGCACCTGTGTGGGAGACCCGGAAGAAGCTCCTGGCTCCTGGCTTCGGATCAGCCGAGCTCCGGCCATTGCTGCCATCTGGGGAGTGAACCAGAGAAAGGAAGACTTCTCTTTCTCTCTGTCTCTCTGCCTCTGTGTAACCCTGCCTTTCAAATAAATAAATCTATTTTTTTTAAGTGTTACATACCCGTAATGAGAACACCAGAAGGAGAAGGAGGAGAGAAAGGAACAGAAGCAGCGTTGAAGCAACAGTGACTGAGAAGTCCCCAAAATGAGCGACACCAACCACAGATCCAGGAAGTTCTGAAACAGCGAGCAGAACAAACAGCAAAGCATCTGTACCTACACACGCCCTCTCTGACTGCAGAAAACCAAGTATAGGAAATCCTGTAATAGGGGCCGGCGCCGTGGCTCACTTGGCTAATCCTGCGCCTGCGGCACCGGCATCCCAAACGGGCGCCGCCGGGTTCTAGTCCTGGCTGCTCCTCTTCCAGTCCAGCTCCCTGCTGCGGCCCGGGAAAGCAGTGGAGGATGGCCCAAGTCCTGGGGCCCCTGCACCCACACGGGAGACCAGGAAGAAGCACCTGGCTCCTGGCTTTGGATTGCCGCAGCGCCGACTGTAGCGGTCATTTGGGGAGTGAACCAATGGAAGGAAGACCTTTCTCTCTCTCTCTCTCTCTCTCTCTGTCTCTCTCTCACTGTCTAACTCTGTCAAATTAAAAAAAAAAAAAATCCTGTAATAAACCCAAGGGGGAAGCAAGCATGAAAATCACTCAGAATTTCCATTTCTTCTGTCAGATTAGCAAATTGTATTTTTAAAAAATCCACTTCTCTATTTTATTCAGATTGTCAAACTTGTGTGTGCAGTTATTCATGACATCCAGCTATCTCTTTAATGTCTGTAGGGCAAGGGCCTCTGTTGCACTCCTGTTGCTGGTAATCGGTTCTCCCTCTACTCTCTGTCCCCACTTCCCTCGCTTACCATTCTTGCCAGTGGCTTTATCAATTAGTATGCTAGCTCTTTTTTTTTTTTTTTATTATTAATCTGAAAGTCAGAATTACAGAGAGGCAGTGGTAGAGGCAGAGACAGAGGCAGAGAGAGTCTTCCATCCCAGATGGCCGCAATGGCTGGAGCTGTGCCAGTCTGAAGCCAGGAGCTTCTTCCGGGTCTCCCACATGAGTGCAGGGGTCTAAGGGCCATCCTCTACTGCTTTCCCAGGCCATACAAGAGAGCTGGATCAGAAGTGGAGCAGCCGGGACTCAAACCAGCACCCATATGGGATGTCAGCACTGCAGGTGGTGGCTTTACCAGCTACACCACAGTGCCGGCCCCAGTATGCTAGCTTTCTAAGTCAATGATTTCTGCTGTTACATTTATTTCCATTCTTCTACTTTCCTTTAATTGAGTCACTGCTCTTTTTCTAGTCTGTTGAGATGTACATAATTTTTAGCTTTTATTCATTTATAAGTTTTGCTTTGTATGGCAACATGTTTCCTCCTGGGCATTGCTTTGGTGTCTCACAAATTTCCATGCTACATCTTTCTTTTCTTTTTTTTTTTTTTTTAAGAATTTACTTGTTTTAAAGATTTATTTATTTGAAAGTCAGAGTTACACAGAGAGAGGAGAGACAGAGAAAGAGAGGTCTTCCATCCACTGGTTCACTCTCCAATTGGCCACAACGACTGGAGCTGTGCTGATCCGAAGCCAGGAGCCAGGAGCTTCTTCCAGGTCTCCCATGTGGGTGCAGGGGCCCAAGGACTTGGACCGTCTTCTACTGCTTTCCCAGGCCATAGCAGAGAGCTGGATCAGAAGTGGAGCAGCCAGGACTAGAACTGGCGCCCATATGGGATGCCGGTGCTTCAGGCCAGGGTGTTAACCCCCTGCACCACAGCGCTGGCCTCTACATCTTCATTTTCAGACAATTCAGTATGTTTTCTAGGGACGGGCATTGTGGCACAGTGTGTTAAACCACGGCATATAATGTTGACATCCCATGTCTCAGTGCTAGTTTGAGTCCTGGCTGCCCCGCTTCTGATCCAGCTCCTGGCCAATGCCCCTAGGAAGGCAGCAGAAGATGGTCCAAGGACTTGGGCCCCTTCCCCCCATATGGAGACCTGGATGGAGTTCTTAGCTGCTGGCTTCAGCCTGGCCCAGACCTGGCTGTTGCAGCCATTTGGGGACTGAACCAGTGAATGGAAAATCTCTCATTCTGTCATTCTCTCAAATAAATATTTTTAAAATTTAAAAAATCTCCAAGTTTCCATTTTCATTTGTTTTTCTAAGCCATGGGTCATTTAGAAACATAGTGCTGGACAACTGGGATTTTTCAGTAATATTTTTATGATGGAAAGCTTCATTATATTGTAGTCAGAATATTCTCTAATTTCAGTTGTTTGAAATGTGACGCTCTGCTGCACTTAACAATGTGAATTCTGCTACTCTTAGGCACGATGTTCTGTTTCAATGAGAGCAAACGCGCATTATGTTGTGCAGACTTTTTTTTTTTTTTTTTTGGTCTGTTCTAACAGCTATTGGGAGAGGTATAACAGAATCTCCCACTATGGTTGCAGAGAGTTCCAATCCTGCCAACTCTGCTTGACATCGCTTTACGTTCTGTTACGGGGTGCACCTTCACAATTATGATTTCTTCTGTGAACTGGCTCCTTGAGCCTTGTGAATGGTCCCTCTTTACCCTCTACAATACTTCTTAAAGGCTTTGGCCATGAGTGCAATGGCACCTTATTTTTTTTTTTTTTTACATGTTATCCTTTCTACCGTTTGGCTTTTAACCTTTCTGCAGTCTTGTATTTTAAGGATGTCTCTAGTGAACCACACTGGAGTTTTTTTAGAATACTGTTGGCGTTGTGGCACGCTGGGTTAAGCCGCCGACTGTGACATCAGCATCCCATACGGGCACCAGTTTGAGCGCTGGAGCTCTACTTCTGATCCAGCTCCCTGGTTATGTGAACAGAAGACGGCCCAAGTGCTTGGGCCCCTGCCACCCATGTGGGAGACCCAGATGGAGCCCCAGGCTTCAGCCTGGCCCAGCCCTGGCTGTTGCAGCCATTTGAGGGAATGAACCAGCAGATGGAAGACCTCTTTCTACCTTTCCCTTTCTCTGTATACTTCTCTTTCAAATAAATAAAATAATCTTACAAAAAATAATGTCAGCTCATTCTGGGTATGGAGTTCTAGGTTGGCAGGATTTTTTTTTTTACCACTTTAAAAAATGTCACTTTGCTGTCCCATGACTTCCGTGGTTTCTGTTGAGAAGGGGGCTGTCAGTTTCATTGCTGATACCTTGAAGACAGAATGCACCGTCTTCTCCAGATGCCTTAAAGCCTTTTTTTATTTTATTTTATTTTTTTTTTTGACAGGCAGAGTTAGGCAGTGAGAGAGAGAGACAGAGAGAAAGGTCTTCCTTCCGTTGGTTCACTCCCAAATGGCCATCACAGCCAGTGCCGCGCTGATCCAAAGGCAGGAGCCAGGTGCTTCTCCTGGTCTCCCATGCAGGTGCAGGGCCCAAGCACTTGGGCCATCCTCCACTGCACTCCCTGGCCACAGCAGAGAGCTGGACTGCAAGAGGGGCAACTGGGACAGATTCTGGCGCCCCGACCGGGACTAGAACCCGGTGTGCCGGCGCCGCAGGTGGAGGATTAGCCTAGTGAGCCTTTAAGCTTTGACTGGGATTTCACTGGTTCTTTCATGAATGCCTCCTGCCTGGTGGAGGCTCCAATCCAGGCTACCCTGCTGCTGCTGTCTGTCCTGGGTTTCTGTGACACTGACAGCTTAGAGGAAGACTGGCCGGGCTATCTGATAGAATGTTCCATCATTAGACCGGGTCACGCAAAGACTGTCAGAGGGATTTTGTTTTATCTTGTGTGGGATTTGCTGCTGCGCTTATCAGATCCACGGGGTGATGAGCTTCGTTGATTTTGGCCACGTGAGTATTGGCAGAGGAGATCCTGTTCTTGCCCCAGCCCTACGAGGCTCCTCACGTCCCTGCTTGTCCCCTCTTGTGCTGGCGCGCTGGGCCGAGGTGCCCGAGAGTCCCACAGAGCAGGTGGGAGTCCGACCTGCAGCTCGAATCCAACCAACTCCGAGCTCATCCATTGCTGTCTTGTTGATGCTTGAGCAAAGTAGATCACCACCGTTTTAATGCACGGAACTGTAGCTATATGCCCTAGCTGGCCGGGGCAGGCGGGAGCATCGCACGGTTCCTCCTGTGCCCATCCCAGGCCATGGTCCTGGGAGCCTGGTGCTCACCTACCTCTCCCAGAGTCACAGGCGTCCTCCACCACCCTTCGCCTCCTCTTCTCTCTCTCCCTATGATCCAAGTCACAAAGCGGCCCCAGGTCCAGAGGGCCATTATGTGAGCTCTCTTCCCTTCCTCTCAGCTGCACAGTAGGTCTGCAGTCTTCTGTACCGCCCACTAGCAACAACAGCCTTGGGCCCATCCCCTCCCTGGGGCCTGGGGTACAGGGAGCAACTGGACATAGGAGCTCGGATTCCTCACGCAGCCCAGTGGTTGAGTTCTCTGGTAGAGGATATTTTGTTTGTGGGTATGCATGATGAGGGCCCACAGGAGACATTTTAGCTCAAATATATATCCTATTGAGTGTCAAATTACAAATCGTTCAACAATCCTCCCCCAAAGCCTTAATTCTGCTATACACGAAATGATTTGTGTCAATTGTGCAACAAACAGTTCATCATCATACAGCAAAATAACCATAGGCCACGAGCTACAGAACAAATCAAAATTTATTTGACAATCATGCATTCCATACATTAGGTCCATCTACTGATCACCGTAGGACAACCACTCACACAGTAAAAGGCACTGAAGGCCCATGGTCAGCCTCTCTTCTGGAGCCTGGAGCTGGGACAGGAGCATGGTGGGGGGGCCACACAGTGGCTCTGCCCACTTCTTCCATGCCCAGGTCCCATGTCCTCCCCCGCACCCACCTCCAGGTCAAGCATTAAGTCTATGAGCCCAGTCACCCCGTCCTCCACTCCACTGGTCCAGACGGCACCATTGAACATGTAGGGATGCAGGAGTGTACACGCGGGGACACAGCCCAGAGGTGGAGACAGGGCAGGCCGTGGAGGGTGGGGCGCCGGAGCCACACTCCTCTGACCTTGACCAAGGCAAGGCCTCCCTTGGAAGACCCCCTGGACAGCCTCTTAGTGCCCCAAGCGTGGCTTGGAGAATGAGTGACCGAGGAGCAGCCGGGGACAGTGAGAGAACCCCCATGGCCTGAGACAGACAGCGAGGTGCTGACCTCTCCCGAGCCCCTCCCCCGGGCCAGGCGTTCTGCAGACCACTTCTTTGCCACCCTCGGAGGAGGTCTTCCCTTCCAGACGCTCAGCGAAGGTCACAGCTGTCCTCTGGGCATTTAGCCAGAAGCTCGCTGAGCGGCCAGTGCCATGTCCCCAGGATCTGAGACCCAGATAGGGGCTCCAGAGGGGGTCCGCACCAGGTCCTCACAGCCAGCAGGCCGAGCGCGCGTGCTGCTGCCCGGCGTGCAGGGGATGGGACTACAGGTCAGGAAGGAAGCGTCCGGCCCAGGTCTCTACCATGGGAACCCCAGGATAGGGAGGACTGAGTGCCAGACACAAAGGGATCCCCACGTGTGTTGAACAAAGTAAGGTGGGCCCAGCCCAGCCCAGAGCCTGCAGCTTCCAGTCTCCGTACTGGGAAGGGGTCCAGACCAGCTCGGCCACTCCTTTTATCTGAATGGCTACGTGGCCAGGCCTCTCTGTCCCTAAGGCCTGTTTCTTTCCCAGATCCTGGAGGCCCCAGAAACCATCCAGCCCCTGCCCCCTGCCTGAGGTAGGGCGCACAGGAGGAGCCCGCCCCAGCACAGGGCTCCTCAGAGTGGGTGAACAGCAGAAGCTGCCTCTGAGCTCCCATCCAGCGTGCAGCCAGGGCCGGGCTAGGGCAGGGCCCCGCTGAAGGTCATGATGGGCAGGCAGAGGAGGGAGCAGAGGTCAGGGGCCGCCCGGGCTGGCAGGTCGGGGGGCGTCTGGGCCGGTGGGCTGAGGCTGCTCTTCTCCGGCTTGTAGCAGGGAGAGACCTCACACCTAGGGGGCACAGCAGGGTAAGGGCAGGTGCCCATCCCTCCGGATCCTTGGCAATGTCTGAGCGGGGAGGCTGCCCCGCCCCCTGGGACCCCCGTTCCCGACCTGACCACGCTCTGCAGGATCTTCCTCTCGTCCTGGTCCAGACACACGGCGAAGGGGCAGCTGCTGGAGCCGATGATCTGCACCTTGTCCACTTTGATCTGGGATGTGCTAATCTGCAAGGGAGGCCCACATCAGCCGCGGAGGCCTGGGCGCGCGGCGCCGCCAGCCCTCGGAGCCGATGGCTGTGGGGGGGAGTTCTAATGGGGGCACAGGCAGGGGTTTGGTTGGCGGCTCTCCAGGGTTAACGGCCAGACTGGTGTGTGTGTGTGTGTGTGTGTGTGTGCTGAGGCTTCTAGCAGGCCCTGCCCTTCTCCAAGTCTGGAAAAAGCAAGTACCCCCCGCCCCCAGGGAGACTGCCCATCACTGTGAGAGTCTGGGGGCTCCCTGACACACAGCCCCCTCTGCCTCAACTCGGGGCTCTCTCCTCGCACCCATCACACAGCCTTCCCCCCCACCCCAACACACACCCCCCCTCACAGGGCCCCCTCCCTGGTCGACACCCAGAACACTCCACACCCACGTACACCCCCAAACCTCACCCCTCACCCTGCTTCTCCTCGCCTACCACAAGCCCTGCTGTGAACACTTCTGTTTCCCTCTCACATGCACACATATGTGAACACACCCACACATGCATGTTCACATGCACTCAGGCATGAGTGTGAACATGGGCGCACCCATCCAGGTGCATGGGTGCACACACTGTGTGTGCAATCCACACACATGCACAGCCACACACATGTACATGGGCACAGCCACACACATGCACATGGGCACACACACTCCCACAAGCCCCCTGTGGGGGTGGCTTTTCGAAGGCGAGGGGGGCCCTCACCTGATTAAAGCTCTTCTTGGATTTGGGGTTCTGCCTTTTCACCACTTCCGTCAGGTGTAGCGTCAGGGCCTCCATGCTGGAGTCTGAAGGGCAAGGTCGGCTGAGGCCAGCTCAGAACCCCTCCCCGCCTGGCCCCCGCCCGGCCCGCCCGACTCACCCAGCTCCTCCTGCTGCCGGCAAGCCTTGTTGAGGTTGACAGAGGTACAGACCTTCTCCAGGTTGCTCCAGCGACTTCGCCCACTGATGGCGCCCTGGAAATGTAGCACAGCCCGCCCGCTCAGCCCAGAGCCCCCAGGCCCACTGCCTCGGGGGAGGCTCCAGAACCCGAGGGAGGGAGGTGTCCACTCCGTCCCTCTGCCACCTTCCCTCAGCAACGAGGGGGGCCCGAGGAGCCTGCTGCAGCCTGAAGTCTGGGATGCAGGCACACGAGTCTGGCTCTCGTGGCGGAAGGCTCAGCCACAGGGCAAGAGAGGGGAATGGCCCAAGGCGGTCTTACCTTGCTGTAAATAATCTGTAGTGTTAGAGGGATGGCCTCCCGGTCGTCATCAATGCCCAGCCGCTTGCTTCCGGGGCCTGTGCCATGCACAGACACATCCTTCAAACCCATGCATGGACTCTGTGGCTCCAGCTCCACGCGCCCTCGCCCCCTGTGCCTGGCCTCCCCAGGCACCGCCTCCCTAGAACCCTCCTCCCCAAGCCCTGCCTCCTTAGGCTCCTCCTCCCCAAGCCCCACCCCCTTAGGCTCCTCCTCCAAGGCCCTGCTTTCCTAGGCCCCTCCTCCCTGGTCCTGCCTCCTTAGGCTCCTCCTCCAAGGCCCTGCCTTCCTAGGCCCCTCCTCCTGGTCCCCGCCTCCTTAGGCTCCTCCTCCCAAGCCCTGCCTTCCTAGGCTCCTCCTCCCAAGCCCCACCTGTTTAGGCTCCTCCTCCCAGGCCCCACCTCTCTAGGTCATCCCAGGCCCCTTCTTTCCGCTCTTCCTCCAAAACCCTGCCTCTCTAGGCCAGCCTCCTCCCTTGGCCCCACCTCCCCAGCACCACCCCCTGTCTATCTCCGCCTGGGCTCAGGCAGTACCCACCAGAAGCCTTGATGGCCCGCGTGGCAGCAGAGTGACCTAGCTCCAGGGACTGGATAAAGATCTCCGTGGTCTTCTCCCCCGTGATGAAGGTCAGCTGGAGAGGCACGAGGGTGCATCAGTGCGGCCCTCCCGGGGGCTGACCACCGGCTCAGCCCGGGGGCGGGGCCTAGGACGGCACCTGCGCAGCGCTGCCCAAGGTGGACCGGGAGCGTGGGGAAGGAGGCAGTGCGTGGGGTGGGCTGGGGCTTTACCTCTGTCTGATAGACCTGCAGCAGCACCGGCCGGGCGGCAAAGCGGCAGTAGTAGAGCAGCATATCAGCCAGGATGGGCAGCGGGGCTGGGGAGCCCTCCAGGGGCCGGGTTTCAGCCTTCAGGGACTGCTGCGGCCCAGGTGGACAGGCGGCGGGAGGGAAACAGAGGCAGGGAGACGCACGGAGGGAGAGGGGCCGGGGCCCAGGGAGAGAGGCAGCAGGGGACACGTGAGGAGGAAGCAGGAGGCAGGGAGGCCCTGGGCCAGCCTCCACGCCTCCCTCACCGGGTAACGGCCCTGGCAGAGCTGCACAAGTCGGGAATTGAGGAAGGGAGGTGAAATCCTGCCCAGATTCAGGCTCAGTCCCGCTTCTCACCCACATTCTCTGCTCTTTCCCAAGGTCTCGAGCTCGGTTCCCCCCAAAACCCAGAGCCTTTTGCGTGAGGCTGGGCAGCAACCCCACCCCCACCCCACCCCAGGGGCCACCTACCTGGCATAGGACTTCCGGGGGCAGGTGCATGAGGCCTAGCACGTTGCGCTCATACCAGGGGTCGAGCATGCCGAGGTAGTGGGAGATGTCATTGGTGCTCTCCTCCCACGGGGCCGAGCCCAGCTCCTATGGGGAGGGGTGAGCATCATTCCCACGACAGCACCTGCAGCCCCAAGCTGAGCCCCTCGCTGCCCCTGGGGGAGTCTGACAACTTTCAGTGTTTGTCCTCCCACCCAGGAGCAGGCAGGGACCTGGGAGTGAGGTCGGGGCAGGACGAGGTGCCCCCTACACACAGGTGCCCCAAACAGCCTCCTGGGGGGACTGTGTCTCACTCACGTCCACTAACTGTCCCCCACCCCCACTGGGCCCAGGGCTGGGGACCTACTACAGGGCTGGGGTGCCTCGGGGAGTCTGTGGGGAGTGGGGGCGTCTGGCTTCGAGGGGCCAGACAGGTGCTGGAGCCGGTTCCGGTTCGCTTCACAGGCACGTAGAAGAACTGGAGCTTGAAGAAGCGCGTGAGGAGTGGGCGGCTGCTCTCCAGCGTCCTGGTGAGAAGATGATGATGAGAGGGAGCCCCGGGGTCCCCCGTGGATCCCAAGACCCTGGTCCTGGATCCATCCCCCAGACAGGGCCACGTGCCCATCATGGCCCTCACCGGAGGTTGCTGTAAGCCCGAGCCACCTTCCCTGAAATCCGATCAGAGCCGAAGACCACGACACGGAGCGTGGAAGCTTTGGGGTCCTCATCCCCACTCAGGAAGGGGCGGCGGCGCTGGGGGCGTGTGGCGGGGGTGAGCAGCCAGCTGGGGAGCTGGGTGCCGAGCCTGGGCTGGGGCAGGGAGCGGGAGCGCTGGGCCCGGGACGGGGGTGAGGCTGGGCTGTCCAGGGGGCTGCAGAGGCTCCCTGCCCGCCGCAGGGGCAGGGCCGAATCCGGGCTGCCCTCCAGGCCCCGGGAGTCCTTCCGCAACACCAGCTGGCTAGTGCTCTTGAAGAGTTTGTAGATTCTGTTAAACTTCTGCCCGGGCCTGCGGTGGCCCCGGCGCTCCTGGCGGCCGGGCCTCTTGGGCCACTCAGAGGCGCTCTCCTCACTGTCTTCCACGTAGCCGCTGTCCATGCCGTCCGAGAGGCCGGCCACGAAGGAAGTCAGCAGGTGCTGGGAGAGGGCTGGCCCTGAGGCCTGGCAGGAGGCAAGGGACAGGGTGGAGTCGCGGGAGGCCAAAGAGCCAGTGGACAGCAGAGAGTCCCTCTCGGCAGAATGCCCGTCCGAGTCCTCCTCGTCTTCCTCCTCCTCCTCGTCTTCCTCTTCTTCCTCTTCATCGTCCCCCAGGATCCCTGGTTGGAGCAGCTCCTGCTCCTTAAGCAGGATTTCCTGCAGGATGTCTGCATGGAAGCAGAGGGCAGTAGGGTTTGGGCCTTGCACGTCCTCAGCGGGCTGACCACCCTCGCGAGACTTGACCTGAGTGCTGGCCTGAGCCGGCTCAGGTAGAGGGGCTGGTGAGAGGTGGGAGGCAGTGGCACAGGGGCAGGAGCAGAAAGCAAGTTTGGTGTGTGTATGTGGGGGGAGGGGGGGAAGGGTGCCCCAGACCCCCAGCCGGCCCCTTACCAAAGCTGTCCTGGTTCCAGCTGTAGGTGTAGCACCTGGCGACAGGGAGTGGGATGGTGTGGAGCTTGCCGGCTCTGGGAGTGTCTGTGAGAACAGGAGGGCAGGGCACGGGTGCTGGCGAGGAGCCCTGGAGACTGGCCAGGCCCGTGCTCCTGTCCTGGGGACCAGACCAGAGCGGGAGGGGTGCAGGCAGCGAGACAGAGGATGCCTGGCTCCCAGGCCTTGGCCAGCGGGGTGGATGTGTGTGCCTCATTCCACCGTGATCACGTGGGGAAAAAACTGTACCATCTCCTAAGATTTTTATAAGGAATTCTACAATGGGAACTGCTAAGTGCTCCTTAAAATCCGTGCTACAGAGCCGGCATTGTGGCACAGGGGGTTAAACTGCCACCTGCGATGTCAGCATCCCATATGGGCACAAGTTCAAGTCCAGGCTGCTCCACTTCTGATCCAGCTTCCTGCTAACGCGCCTAGGAAGGCAGCAGAGGATGGCCCAAGTGCTTGGATTCCTGCTACCCACATGGAGTTCCTGGCTCCTGGCTTTGGCCTGGCTCAGACCTGGCTGTTGTGGTTATTCGGGGAGTGAACCAGTAGATGGAAGATCTCTGTCTGCCTTTTTCTCTCTCTGTCACTCTGCCTTTTAAACATAAACAGATCTTTAGCAGTATAAAGAAAACACTGACCCGCGCTCCCTTCTCCTAAGACACACTTTCTTTGAGGCGCTATGTGGCCGTGTGTCTCAACTGGGCTCTAAGAGGCCCATGTGGAATGATGTGCACAGCTTCTGTAGCATCTTTTAAGAAATTTTGCTTGTTTGAAAGGCAGAGGGACAAAGACAGAGGGAAGAGATTTTCCTCCTCTGGTTCTTTCTCCAGGCACCTGCAATAGCCAAGGCTAGGCCAGGCTGAACCCAGGATCCAGGAACTCCATCCAGGTCTCTGGCCGGGGTAGCAGGGACCCAAGTACTTGGACCATCACCCGCTGCCTACCAGGTGCATTTGCAGGAAGCTGCATGGGAAGTGGAGGAATTGGGACTAGAAATGGGGTGCAGATGCCACAGCACCTGCCCCTCTAGCTTCTTCAACAAAAACCCCATGCCTCTGGTCCTCAGTGAGCACCCTTCCTTATCCCACAAGCCACCCAGCCCTGACCCTGTGGACTGGAAGATGTCCCAGGGGAGGGAGCAACAAAGTGCTGGAAACCTTGGGCCCCTTAATGGCTGCGTGGAGCACAGCCCCCAGGCCAAGCTGGCCTGCATGCCTTGGGAACTGGAACAGTGGATGGGGCCCTTCTCCCAAGAACCTCACCCAAGACGGCAGGGAAGCCGGCTTTTTCTCCCACCGCCTGCAGCTTGGTCCTGAGCCATTGCCGCGCCTCAGCTGCGTCCCCGATGCCAGATGCCAGCTCCTGCGCCTCTGCGGTCTCCGTGAAGATGTCTTCAAGCTCGGCTAAGGTCTTGGACTGAAACCCCAAGAGAGGAGACAGGGTCTGCTCTGGTCCCTTGGCCCGCCTCCACTCCCAGCGGGTCAGGGAGCCAGGCCTTGCCCTGCCTCCATTCTCAGGCCCAGAGCAGAGCACTGGAGAGCTGGGAGGGCCTCCAGACTCCCCACTGAACGCCAGAGAGGGGAAGGAGCTGCCCAGAGCGACACAGCTGACTGGTCACAGGGTCAGGACCAGAAACCAGACCAGCTCACTCCCAATCCCGGGACAGGCGCCATCTTCCAAGGTACCAGGTATCAGCACCCTACGCAGCACCCAGGTGCTGCCAGGCTCCAAGAGAACCCGACTAGCCCTCCAGCCACTGCTCTGCCATGTGACTCAGGGCGGGGTAACGCCAGTGTACCCGAGACTGCAGCTGAGATGGAGCAGGTGGGGCTCTGCCTCTCTAGGGACATGCTCAGCAGAGCCCCGGGGCCCTTACCTGCAGGCTGCAGTGCAGGCCCGGGAGGTCGCAGTGGGCCCCGAAGGTGGCCTGGAAGGCATGCAGGAGCAGGGTAGTGTAGGTGCTGTGGGGCGAGTGCCCAGGTGCACTTAGCTTGTTGGCTACGGCGAGGAACTCGGCCTGCACCTCCACGGGGTTCAGCAGCAGCACAGTACTGGGGGCACAGAGCATTGGCGATCGCACCTGGCCATGGGCAGCCGCACGGCCCCCGCCTGCCAGGGCTCAGCGCCCCCGAGGCCTGGACCTCCCCCTATCCCAGGTAGGGCTGGAGCCAGGGCCAGCAGGTGGCCAGGAGGGAGGCTGGACCCTGGACTCCAGGGTCCCTGTTCCAAGGGGAAGAAGTGTGGTCTACTTTTGAGGGTTTTATTTTTTTAAGCTGAACTTTTCAGAACTGAGCTTAATTTTTTAAAATATATATATTTTTTATTTGACAGGTAGAGTTAGTGAGAGATAGAGAGACAGAGAGAAAGGTCTTCCTTCTGTTGGTTCACCCCCCAAATGGCCGCTAAAGCTGGCGCTGCACCTATCCGAAGCCAGGAGCCAGGTGCTTCCTCCTGGTCTCCCATGGGGTGCAGGGCCCAAGCACTTGGGCCATCCTCCACTGCACTCCCAGGCCACAGCAGAGAGCTGGCCTGGAAGAGGAGCAACCGGGACTACTACGCGGCACCCATATGGGATGCCAGCGCCACAGGCGGAGGATTAGCCAAGTGAGCCACGGCGCCAGCCCTTTAAAATATATTTTATCTTACTTTTTGCATAACCCTTTCTCCAAGGCGACATCTGAGTAGACGCAGGATTACCCAAAGGGGGTCTTATTTTTAGGGGGAGGGGACTGGAAGTTGGGGGGAGCATTTCAGGAGTTTGTGGGGAACAGGGCAGCTCACATGCTGCTGGGCAGTGTGGCCAGGGACTAATGGGGCTCGAGAGTCCCCCTGGAATGAGGTGACATGGCGGGCTGCCTCTGATCCCCCTGCTGGTGGGAGACACCTTTCCTAACGCCCAAGGTTGTCATGACGACCAGCACGGGGCAGGGAGGGGAGTGTGCGCCCGGCCGCCTCCATCTCCCTGCCCACCGCACACCCAAGTTCCCCGTCGATGCCAACATTTGCATTTCTCTATGAAGCAACCGGCTCAAACGTTGAGAGAAGCACGGGTCTCCAGGCCCAGTCGCCATCACTTGCCCCGGCATCAATCCCTCCGTGCCTGTGGCATCTCAGGGTGGATCTGAGCCATCACGGAGTTGTACCCATAAGCGCTTCAGTTTGTGCTCTCTCACTATTCCACACCGGGTTCAAACCCTGTGCGAGGAAGCTCCGTGCAGGCTGGGTTCCCTCCACGTTCTAGGGACGACAGTCCCAGAGCTGGGCGTCGGGGTGAGGGCACAGAGACAGGGCAGAGCCCTCATCATCTGGGGAGAAGTTGCTTTTGACTTCTCCCTCTGTGGGAAAAAGGAAGCAGGCTATCCCAAGCCCTCTTCCAGGGTCCAGGCTATCCCAAGCCCTCTTCCAGGGTCCAGGCTATCCCAAGCCCTCTTCCAGGGTCCAGGCTATCCCAAGCCCTTTTCCAGGGTCCAGGCTATCCCAAGCCCTCTTACTGGGCCCTTCTCCTTTGCTGTGGCCTTGGCCATTCTTCCCACGGCCATGGGCTGAGCACCACTGGGTGCAGGAATCATGGGCTTGCGTGATTTCTCTGCCCAAGGGTTCTTCCCCCTCGCTGCTCTGTGCCTGGGTTCCCTTGTCTGAAAACCGTCACCTCCCAGCAAGAGCCCGAGGAATGAATGAGCTAATGCATGAATAGGGGAGAGATGACTGAAATGGTGCACAAAGCCCAGGGAGTGCCGGGAGGTGCTGGTTGTTACTCAGCAGTCCCTGACTATCAGCCTTGGCCATCCACTCTGAAAAATACTATGTGCAAAATTCCAGAAATAAACCACTCTTAAGTTCTAAATTCCACAGCATTCTGGGGCTGGCATTGTGGTATAGCGGGTTAAGCTGCCACCTGTGACACCAGCATCCCATGTGAGCGCTAGTTCGAGTCCCAGCTGCTCCACTTCCAATCCACCTCCCTGCTAACGCACCTGGGAAGGTGGTGGACGGTGGCCCATATACTTGGGTCCCTGCCACCCACATGGGAGACCTGGGTGGAGCTCCAGGCTCCTGGTTTTAGCTTGGTCCAACCCTGGCTATTGCTGCAAGTCCTTATTTTACCAAATGGCTTCATGGCGCGTGTGGAGTAACGAGTAAGTTCGGTGTCATGGAACTTGATCCAGTTGTGTGTGTGTGTGTGTGTGTGTGTGTTTCAGGCTGTCATACAAAACGTATTAGATGCTGGTTAAACAGGACAGAAAGACATTGTGGGAAACAGACCTTTGAAGAAGCCTGAGGTTCAAACCCTGGCTCAGAGCCCTGCTAGCTGTGTGACCTTGGGCAAGCTACTCGCCTTCTCTGACTTCCAACTTCCTACTTGGGAAAGTCAGGATGGTGCGAGGTCACGTGTGGCTAGTGCCTGGCAGGACTGAGCCAGGCCCTGTGACAAAGCCACAGATAGACCCTCAGCCCAGAAACATGAACTCTACATGGAACCAACCACCAGGAACCCCAAGGGCTTCCCTGGGCAGCAGTGGTGCGTGCGTGTGTGCAGGGGTGTGGAGGGCATGCTGGACTGGGGAGAGGGGGGTGATGGCAAGAAGGCAGGGGTCCCGCGCCCCGCCCAGGACACTCACACGGTGGAACTGCGGCGGCTCCTGACGGGCAGACCCTGCTCAGCTCTCACCAGTCGCTGGTAGGAGATTCCTATGGGCCAACAACAAGAAAGAGTTCAAGGCCATCTCTTGTCCCACAGCAGTCACAGCCTTGGGTCACGGCAAGCCGGCTCCTGGCCAGCTGGGCTGGAAGGTCCCAGAGGTGGCCCATGAGAACGAGAATGCTACTCGGGCCTTCCTGGGTGCCTGGCCCTGTGCTCCCGTCTCCCGCTGACACCTCGTGACCTCCGCCACCCACTCCTCAGCCACCCCCACTGTCCTCCCCCTTCTTGGTTACCCTGCCCAGCCCCAGCCCCCACCTTGGGGCAGCCTGGTGGGAGAGAAGGGGCCACAGGGTGAGAGCCTGGGGGAGAGAAGTCTGAGCTCCAGGCTGATCACCTATGTGGTGGTCACTCTCCTGCTGGGTCTCAGTTTCCCCCGTACGGGGGCAGCCCGCGTGCCTGGCTGCCCAGTTGTCCCCATGTCCTTGTCACTGCGCCCTTCCTGGCCACTCTGGGTGTCTGTTCATAGTGGCTGTGTCAGGCCCCCTCGCTCAGCCTCACTCCAACCAGGCGGCGAGCCCCCAGGTCCCCACCCTCACCCAGCAGCCCGCAGCCCCTCAGGGCCTGCCCCCTTGCCCATGTGGTCTCTTCTGCGGGGTGTCTGACCCCAGGCCCCTTCCTCTACAGCCTCGCCCAGGGCCCCTCTGACCTCACACACACTGAGGAGTCGGCCACACATCTCCCCCTGGCCCTGCTCCCTGACTCATTCCGTGGCTGGAAAGCGTCCCCTCCCAATGGGCACTCAGTTCCATGTCAGCCCTGGGGAGGAGGTTTGCCAACAGTGCAGCTGCCTATGGATGGGGTAAACTGAGGCAGGGCTGGGGACCTGGGGATGGGGGGTGGGAACCTTCTGGTCAGAGCTTAGGAACAGTCACTGGGGCATCCCTGGAGTGGGGTTGAGCTGGGGCGCTGAAATGGCATCCCTGTGTCAAACGCAAGGCAAGACTGGGGTTGCAATGTCATAGCTAGCAAGAGGAAGGCCATGATTTTTTGTTTGGTGAAAAGCGGGGAATCACCAAATGATGCCACTTGGAGACCTAACAGCTTTGACTGCCGGCTTTTTGTGGAATTATATAATTGTTGCTTGTTTAGGCGCTACTCCGAGGCCACTTCGCTAGGGAAAAGTCCCTCAAAGTTTTGAGGTGGGTGATAACTGTGAGGAGTGGAGCACCACCTGGCGGCTGCTCTCGTGTACTACAGAGAAAAACTGTCGGTGTGCACACGGGAGGATATGCTATGATTTTTGGAATTCAAACAGACTTGATCCCAACTGCTAGACCTCCTGTTGGCTGTGAGACTACTTAACTGTCAAATCCTCAGTTTCACTTCTGAGAAATGGGACTAAAAGTAGCTACCCAGAGAGAGGGTCCCGGGGATAGGCGCAACCGACCCCTGGCAGTGCCGGATTGGATGCGCTTTTCAGTATCATCCGCCGCTGCCGTCTACAGCAGTTAGCAATGACAGAGGGCTTCGGGAACTTGGCTGAAGCCATCAGCTAATAATTGACAAAGTATAGACAGCGTGGACAAGGGCCACTGAACTTCTCATGTAGGAACTGAGAATACCGTTACTTCCTTTGCACCCCTCGAGGCTGTGTGCTTTGCACGCTGCAGAGTGACCAGCATATACGCCGCTCACCACGCACCGGCAGCTTTACGGACACCGGCCCGGGAGGCGAGTATCGCTTTCTGCACAGCTGTGCCAGCACGGAGTATAAATCCTCAATAAACACGCCCGGCGGCACTGAGGGGAGGTTTCCTGCCACCCCCAGGGTGCGGGCTGTAGGCGGCCCTATCGGAGGCACAGTCAGGAAGAAGAGGGTGCCCCAGGTCTTGATAACCAGCCCACTTCCTCTGCCAGCAGCCACGGTCTCCATGGCAACTGGTCCCTAAGGCACTGTGATGCTGCCGGCACCCATCTCCTGTGCTAACACCACCCCCACGGTCTCCCCCGTGACGTAAGGACTGGCTTAGAGGTGGACCTTAAGGCTGGCCAACCCTGCCCTGCTCATCTGTGACAACACACAACTGGGTGCGTGTGGGGGAGACTGACTGGTTGGGGACAAGTCAGCTGATTGGTTGGGGGGGCAGATCAACTGATTGAATGGGAGGAGGCAAAGGCAGCTGATTGGCTGGGAGGAGGAAGGAGGTGCTGATTGGTTGAGAGAAGGCAGATCGGCTGACTGGTTGGGGAAGGAAGTCACTTAGTCCTGAAAAGGAATTTACAAAGCCTCATGCTGGGCTTTCTGGGGATCATGAGCGGTTGGGAGTTAGACCTGGTACTGCTGTCTATGTTTGATGGATACAATGAGAATGAAAAGGCCTGGTGCAGGTGTACACCAGGATTGGATGCACAAAACTTGGATTACAACACACATGATATTTTGTAATCTGCATTTTTACCAAACAAGTTAGCCAACATCTTTTGACTTTAGTAACTCTATTTCTGCATTCAACAGCATTTCACCAAATTACGCTGCCACGGTGGACCCAACCGTGTTCAACTTTTTTTTTTTTTTCCGGCGTTGGCTGAATATTAGAACAGATGCATTGATGAACATCCTTGCGGCTAAATCCTTGCACATCCATAATTATTCAGCAGGATCAGTTTCTAGGAACGAAATTGCTGGGTGGAAGAGTCTTCTACGCGAGGACTTAGCCAATGTGGCCACCTCTTATTCAACACTGGAATTCTCATTCCTTAATTTTTGCCAAATTGTTAGGGGAAGAAGCGCCTCTCTCTTGAGCTTTTTGCTACTAGTGAGGATGATTTGGGGGTTACCACTCACCATTCAAGGCCCTGTTTAAGGTGCACTTGAATCATGGCTTCATTCATACTTCCACTGGTGCATCTGCTTATTTTCTGACCAACTCAAAATAACTCTCCCAAAGCTTAATATATTAATATTCTGTCGCAAATATTCTTTCTTATTGTGTCCTTTACCTCTCATTTACAGTGGGTTTTGCTATATGAAAGCTTTGAGTTTTTACCATGATCTTTTTTTTTGACAGACAGAGATAGACACTGAAAGAGACACTTGGTTCACCCCCCAAATGGCCGCTACAGCCAGCGCGCTGCGCCGATCCAAGCCAGGAGCCAGGTGCTTCCTCCTGGTCTCCCATTCAGGTGCAGGGCCCAAGCACTTGGGCCATCCTCCACTGCACTCTCTGGCCACAGCAGAGAACTGGACTGGAAGAGGAGCAACCAGGACAGAATCCGGCGCCCCGACCGGGACTAGAACCCGTTGTGGGCCGGCGCTGCGGCTCACTAGGGTAATCCTCCGCCTTGCGGCTCCGGCACACCGGGTTCTAGTCCCGGTCGGGGTGCTGGATTCTGTCCCGGTTGCCCCTCTTCCAGGCCAGCTCTCTGCTGTGGCCAGGGAGTGCAGTGGAGGATGGCCCAAGTCCTTGGGCCCTGCACCCTATGGGAGACCAGGATAAGTACCTGGCTCCTGCCATCGGATCAGTGCAGCGCGCCGGCCGCGGCGGCCATTGGGGGGTGAACCAACGGCAAAGGAAGACCTTTCTCTCTCTCTCTCTCTCTCTCTCTCCCTGTCCACTCTGCCTGTCAAAAAAACAAAACAAAACAAAACAAAACAAAAACCGTTGTGCCGGCGCCACAGGTGGAGGATTAGCCTAGTGAGCCATGGCGCCGGCCGAGAGCTTTGAGTTTTACACTTCCAAATGTGTCAGTCTCTTTGTCATTTTCTGCATGGGGAAATGAATGTATGTGGCAACTCTTCACCCCCCCAGACTCATGTAGCTTATTTTTCTTCTCGTATTTTAAGGTCTTTTTTTTTTTTTTTTTTTTTTTTTTTTTTTTTTTTTGACAGACAGTGGACAGTGAGAGAGAGAGACAGAGAGAAAGGTCTTCCTTTGCCGTTGGTTCACCCTCCAATGGCCGCCGCGGCCAGTGCGCTGCAGCCGGCGCACTGCGCTGATCCGATGGCAGGAGCCAGGAGCCAGGTGCTTTTCCTGGTCTCCCATGGGGTGCAGGGCCCAAGCACCTGGGCCATCCTCCACTGCACTCCCTGGCCACAGCAGCCAGGAGGCAGGTGCTTTTCCTGGTCTCCCATGGGGTGCAGGGCCCAAACACTTGGGCCATCCTCCACTGCACTCCCGGGCCACAGCAGAGAGCTGGCCTGGAAGAGGGGCAACCGGGGCAGAATCTGGCGCCCCAACCGGGACTAGAACCCGGTGTGCCGGCGCCGCTAGGCGGAGGATTAGCCTAGTGAGCCGTGGTGCCGGCCAGGTCTTGTTTTCTACACTTAAGTCTTTAATCCATCTAAAAGTTATTTTATGTTTGAGATGTGACTCAATTTTTTAAATAGAATTTTAACTCAATTTCCTTATAGTCTACCAATTGTCTTAGTATCACTTATTAAATAAGTGATTTTTAAAATCATTTTTGAGGATGCCACTGTTATACAGTAAATTTTTATTTATTTAACGTTTCTAGATATTATATCATTCTATTCATCTATCTATTATGCCAGTAGTGTACTATTTAATAGCTATAGACCACCCGGCACCACAGCTCACTTGGCTAATCCTCTGCCTGCAGCACTGGTACCCCGGGTTCTTGTCCTGGTTGGGGTGCCAGTTCTGTCCTGGTTGCTCCTCTTCCAGTCCAGCTCTCTGCTGTGGCCTGGGAGTGCAGTGGAGGATGGCCCAAGTGCTTGGGCCCTGCACCCGCATGGGAGACCAGGAGGAAGCACCTGGCTCCTGCCTTCGGATCGGCACAGCGCGCTGGCCATAGCAGCCATTTGGGAGGGTGAACCAACGGAAGGAAGACCTTTCTCTCTGTCTCTCTCATTATCTAACTCTGCCTGTCAAAAAAAAAAAAAAATAGCTATAGCCCTACATACTTTACCTAGTAAGAGAAAACATTTTTTCATTACTCTCCTTTAAAAAAAAAAAAGATTTCTTTTTATTTGAAAGTCAGAGCTACACACGCTGGTTCACTCCCCAATTGGCCACTACAGCCAGAGCTGTGCCAGTCCGAAGCCAGGAGCCAGGAGCCTCCTCTAGGTCTCCCACATTGGTGCAGAGGCCCAGGGACTTGGGCCATCATCCACTGCTTTCCCAGGCCATAGCAGAGAGCTGGATCAGAAGTGGAGTAGCTGGGACTTGAACCAGCACCCATATGGGATGCTGGCACTGCAGGCAGATTTACCCACTATGCCACAGGGCCGGCCCCTCATCATTACTCTCCTTTAAGAGTACATAAATAAAGACATAATGCATAAAGAAATGCTACTGTAGGGGCTGGCATTGTGGTGTAGTGGGTTAAGCAGCTGCCTGTAATGCTGGCACTCCATATGGGCGCTGGTTCGAGTCCCAGCTGCTCAACTTCTGATCCAGCTCCCCGCTTATGCACCTGGAAAAGCAGCAGAAGATGGCCCAAGAGCTTGGGCCCCTGCATCTACGTGGGAGACCTGGATGAAGCTCCTGGTTCCTGGCTTCCACCTGGCCCAGCTCCCACCATTGCAGCCATTTGGGGAGTGAACCAGCAGATGGAAGACCTCTCTCTCTAACTCTTTCAAATAAAAATAAATAAATCTTTAAAAAGAGAAATGCTGGCCGGCGCCGTGGCTCACTAGGCTAATCCTCCGCCTAGCGGCGCCGGCACACCGGGTTCTAGTCCCGGTCGGGGCGCCGGATTCTGTCCCGGTTGCCCCTCTTCCAGGCCAGCCCTCTGCTGTGGCCAGGGAGTGCAGTGGAGGATGGCCCAGGTGCTTGGGCCCTGCACCCCATGGGAGACCAGGAAAAGCACCTGGCTCCTGGCTCCTGCCATCGGGTCAGCGCGCTGCGCCGGCCGCAGCGCGCCGGCCGCGGCGGCCATTGGAGGGTGAACCAACGGCAAAGGAAGACCTTTCTCTCTGTCTCTCTCTCTCACTATCCACTCTGCCTGTCAAAAAAAAAAAAAAATAAAATAAAATAAAAAGAGAAATGCTACTGTAGAACATTTATTCTTTCAAGTAGATTTTTCTTTAAATTTTAAAAGGGTATGGTTGGTATCTTGATGGAGATTACACTGATTTTCATAACCCTTGGTGTCTCTTTAATTATTTATCCTTCAGTAAAGCTCATTTTCTCGAGGTAGGTTATTCACATTTTTAAATGTAGTTTGTATTTTAGTTGCTGTTGTAAATTGTTGCTTTTCTTCACTCATCCTGCTGTCTTACTGGATGATGCTGGTGAATAGGAAAACTCCTAGAGGGGCTAGCACTGTGGTGCAGCGGGTTAATGCCCTGGCCTGAAGCACTGGCATCCCATATGGACACCGGTTCGTGTCCCAGCTGCCCCTCTTCTGATCCAGCTCTCTGCTATGGCCTGGGAAGGCAGTGGAAGATGGCCCAAGTCCTTGGGCTCCTGCACCCATGTGGGAGACCTGGAGGAAGCTCCTGGCTCCTGGCTTCGGATCAGCACAGCTCCGGCCGTTGCAACCATCTGGGGAGTGAACCAGCAGATGGAAGACCTCTCTCTCTGTCTCTACCTCTCTCTCTGCCTCTGCCTCTCTCTGTAACTCTTTCACGTAAATCAAATAAATCTTTAAAAAAAAGAAAAAAGAAAAAAGAAAAACTCCTAGGGACCAGTCATCTATTTCTGACAATTCTCTTTTTGGGTGACTCACTACAGATAAACAATGGTTTGAGCTCCAAATAATGACAATTTTATCTTTATTTTTTTCTTTTTTGCATCGACAAAATCCCTCTAAGCAAAAAAAAAAAAAAAGAGGAAGACTATTGACTTGAATGGAAATGCCTCTAGCAGTCCACCTTGGGCTGTTGCTGTGTTAAAAGCACTTCTTGATGAGCACTTTCCATTTTTTGAGGAGCTATGACTATCAGGAGCAGGTGTTGAACGTCTTGGAGGCACCCACTGAGATGTTTGTGTGGCTGTTCTGGTGTTATGCGTTACTCTGAGGTTTGCTACTCAGCACATCATACTTGACCTTGCTCTATCATTGTTTTCCCAAACTTCTTTTCCATGTCAATAACAGCACCTGTAATTTCTCAAGAACTCCTGCTTTTCAGACCTCACATGTGGAAACTTAGAGAGTACCAAGCTCTTGTCTTCATCTGTCATGGCGGCCATCCACCTGTCACCGGCCTCCTTCCCCAGCTAGGACTGAATCATCTCCCCCACACACAATCAGCTATTTGCTCCTGGGGCAAAGAGAACAAGCAAGGGTCCCTATTCTGGGGGCTTCTCTGTCTGACCTGGGCAGTCTCAGAGATCCCCCGTGCTAACCAAAGATAGGCACAGGCTAACGGGTGGGCTTGCTTTGTCCCGAACGCCTGCTCAGCTTCCCTGAGACTTTCTCCCTGAGTTCCCTCCCGTATTTACTGCTCCCAGCTTGTGTTGGCTCAGCCACCTGCTGCTGTATCCACCGTGAGAAGCAGTCTCCCAAGTTTTGCCCCGGGACATGGGGAGAGAGGAACCGAAGGCTGCAATGTGAAGAGAGTCATGGCCAAGGAACAGGTGCAGGAGAGCTGGGAGCGCCCCACCCACCTGAGCCCCACCCCGGGTGCCACCTGCCTCGGTGCTCACCTGGGGCCTTGAGTTCAGCGTCGATGAAGGTGAGCAGCTCCTGGCAGATGCTGCAGTAGGGAATGGGCCAGGTCAGGAACCGGTGGTAGGTTCTGGCTGCCTTCAGGAGGAGGTCCGAGTCTGGTGGGAAGTGTGGTGTCTGGAATAGAGGGGGGAGGGGGCAGCACGCAGAGGGGTCTGGGTGACAGAAAGCTCACGGATATTCCAGAACAGCTTCTGCTCCCTTTCTGGAATGTTCCACAAAAGACACACATCTCTTGGCAGCGTTGTCTCTACTGTAAGACCTTGTGCTCACCAAATAGAGCATGGTTTGTCCAACAGTTGCGAGAGCCTCTTTGAAACATTGTCACTGTAGAGGTTATTCTATGTGGTGCCATTGCTGCCACTTGTTTGGGGCCATCCTCTTCAGTGCTGAGACACCTCTGTTTAAATATCTTCCCTAAAGGCCAAGGTCATTTGCATGTTGAGTGGATGCACTCGACACATATGGAGTCACCTGCTGCCTCCGGTGTGGTGGGCTCACTGGGGTCCAAACATGAGGGAGATGTAAAATCTCAATGGACTCTCTTGTGTGGCTTGTGCCAGCTGGTGACAGCAGTTCCTCCACTGAGCTCCGAGATGCCAGAGGCCATGGCAGCCACGGGGTGGGGGACGGGAGGCCTCCAAGATGGTGGCTTGGAAGCCATCACATCCGCGTCCTTGCCTGACCGTGTCTCTCTGTGTGTTTATCCCCCGAGGTGTGAGGGCTGTGTCATGCCCGGGGCTCTCTCCTGCCCTTCCTCCCCAGCCTGGCCCCCTGGACTTACACAGAGGACGGTGGAGTAGAACAGCAGGGCCAGTGGTGCCAGGAGGTCATAGGTGCCCTTCTCTTGGACCTGTGAGAGGACACGGAGAGGGTTCAGCCACAGGGGGCCAGGCTCCCTGGGCCACAGGGCTGCAGGACGTTCTCATTCTAGCCTGTTCCCTCTCTCCTGCTCCCTCTCAGCGAAGAGTAACATAACCACAAGGCAAACAATTTGGATGACAGAAGTAAAAACAAAAACAAAAAAACCTCTCAATATTCCCTCAATATTCTGGAATGTTCCACAAGACACACATCTCCTGGCAGCATTGTCTCTACTGTAAGACAAACACAGCTAATGTGTCCATGCCCTTCTTACCCAATTTCTCCCTAGATTCCCCCCTATAAAAACATAATCATAGTATGTGTTTACTCTTAATTAAATTATATCATGGTAGATTATGTATGTTCTGTTACATTATAATCACAATATGCATAAATTATATTAAAGTTATTACAGTCACGAGTGTCTACTTTACTCTTAGCATCTGTTACATATAGTATAACAGGTGAATTTCTGTGTAACTACCTGGTCTCTCAGACCAGCCTGTCTCCCCCCGGCCCGGTTGCACATTTACCTACTATTTGTGCTGTGAGTACCTTTTCTAGCTTGTTGTTTGTCTTTCACTTGCACACAAGTTCATTCTCCTGTATCTATTTTTGCTTTTGCATACAAGCATCACCTCAGTATCCATATATTTTTTCTTCCTTTCTTCGAAGCTTCATTTTCTTAAATGTAAATCTTTAATCTACCTACAGGTTCATCTACTGAATGCTGGAAGTTGGGCATCTCACTCTGTATTTTTCTAAATACTTAGTTGGTTCCCCTTAAACCATGTAAAAATCTGACTGATATGACGTCATCACATATTAAATTGCCTTTGTCCCCTAGCTGCTGTCATCACTTTACTGGCTGCATGATATGCTAACAACTCATTCATCTTACTGCAGGCATTGAGATTCTTTTCTTTGGGTTTTGCATAACTTTGCAGTGAACATCATTGTGCACATTCGCTTTTCTAGAACTCGGATCATGCATCTAGGATAAGGTGGGGTCAATGGATCAAACGTTATAAACTTACAAGCAGTCTCCAAAACAACCATGCATGTCATTTAAAAAGTATGCATGGATTTCCACTTTTTTGGGACCAAAATAAGATTATCTTTTTAAAATTCATTTAATTTTTAAAAAACATTTATTTATTTGAAAGACAACATTATAGAGAGAGGCAGAGAAGAGAGAGAGAGAGAGGTCTTCTATTTGCTGGCTCACTCCACAAATGGCTGCAATGGCCGGAGTTGAGCCGATTCAAAGCCAGGAGGCAGGAACCAGTAGGCAGGAGGCAGGAGCCAGGAGCTTCCTCTGGGTCTCCCACATGGGGACCCAAGCACCTGGCCCATCCTCTGTTGCTTTCCCAGGCACATTAGCAGAGAGCTGGATCGGAAATGGAGCAGCTGGGACTTGAACCAGCGCCCATAAGAGATGCAGGTGCTGCAGGCTAGGGTTTTAATCCACTGCACCACAGCGCTGGCCCCAAAATTTATTTAAAATTTTATTTACTTATTTTCAGTTTACTTGAAAGGCAGAGAGAGGCCGGCGCCGTGGCTCACTAGGCTAATCCTCCGCCTAGCGGCGCCGGCACACCGGGTTCTAGTCCCGGTCGGGGCGCCGGATCCTGTCCCGGTTGCCCCTCTTCCAGGCCAGCCCTCTGCTGTGGCCAGGGAGTGCAGTGGAGGATGGCCCAGGTGCTTGGGCCCTGCACCCCATGGGAGACCAGGAAAAGCACCTGGCTCCTGGCTCCTGCCATCGGATCAGCGCGGTGCGCCGGCCGCGGCGGCCATTGGAGGGTGAACTAACGGCAAAGGAAGACCTTTCTCTCTGTCTCTCTCTCTCACTGTCCACTCTGCTGTCAAAAAAAAAAAAAAAAAAAGGCAGAGAGAGAGAGAAAGATGAAGAGACATCTCCCATTCACTGGTTTACTCCCTCAAATGCCTGCAGCAGCCAGGGCTGGGCCAGGTTGGAGCTGGGAACTCAGTCTGGGTCTCCCATATTGGCGGGAGGAATCCAGGTAGTTCAGCCGTGGGCTGCAGCCTCCCAGGATGCACAGGAACAGGAAGCTGGAGCAGGCACGGAGGAGCCGGGCTCGAACCAGGCACTCCTCTGTGGGATGCAGGTGTCCCAAGCAGCGACTTAACCACTGTGCCAAAAGCCACCTCCAAATCCCACGTTCCGTGAAATTTCTCAAGTCACCTCCCATTTGAGATGTACTACCAAACCACTTTCCAAAAGGATTTTTATATTATCTTGGCCATGAATGATGTCTGTCTCACCACACTCTTCCCACACTGGTTGTTGCAGGTGGTTTTATTTTCGTTTTTTGCTCATTGGCTAGACAAAGGCCTGCCTCCTTATGGGTGCAATTTGTGTTCATTTTCTTCAGCTGGAGGCAGCATGTGTCTTCCTGTTTACGAGTTCCATTTCTCCTTTCGTGAATCATTTGATAGAGCCTGCCATATGACATGTGAGGGCCTTCAGAAAGTTCATGGAAAATGGAACTAAAACCTAAGTTTCGTCTAGAACAGAAAATTCTGCAATCTGCATACAAAGAGTCTTCAAAAAGTTCATGGAAATGCATATCATGGATTTCAAAAAAAATTTTTGCACCAAGATAAACTTAGCTTTTAATTTTATTTTTCCTCAAACTGCTGTTTTAATTAAAACAAATATTTTAATTAAAAAATTAGGGTCAGGTGCTGTGGTGTAGCAGGTAAAGCCACAGCCTACAGTGCTGACATCCCATATGGGCACCGGTTTGAGTCCCGGCTGCTCCACTTCTGATCCAGCTCTCTGCTATGGCCTGGGAAAGCAGTAGAAGATGGCCCAAGTCCTTGGGTCCCTGCACCCGCGTGGGAGACCCAGAAGAAGCTCCTGGCTCCTGACTTCGGATCGGCACAGTTCTGGCCGTTTGTAGTCAATTGGGGAGTGAACCAGCGGATGGGAGACCACTCTCTCTCTGCCTCTCCTCTCTCTGTGTAATTCTAACTTTCAAATAAATAAATAAATCTTAAAAAAAAAAAAAAAAAAAGAGCCAGAACCTTCTTTTGGGATTTACAGGCATTCCGGAACCCCAGCCCAAGCAGGATTAAACATACTGCTCAGAGGTGGGCATTTGGTCTGGCGATTAAGACCCCAGCATCCCCCTGGCTCTGCTCCTGGCTCCAGCTGCCTGTGCAGGCAGATCCCAAGTGGCAGCCGGTAGTGGCTCACACATTGGGTTCTTGCCGCTACACGGGAGACCCAGACTGAGCTGTGGACATTTGAGCGCCGAACCAGCAGGTGAGAGCCCAACCAGCCACACTCCTCCTCGCATTCACAAAAGCCCAGTTATTGAGCCCTCAGTCTACTCTGTCAATGCGGCCGAGAATCTTTTAGAGCAAAGGAGTTCAGAGAAGTTCCCCTCCTGGTCAGCAGCTCCACTCACTCACGAGCCACATCTGTGCTCAGGAGCGGTGGGCCTCCTAGGATCCTGCTTCCCCTACTGCACGTTCCCCCGACAGAGAACTCACCCCTCCCCGGAAATCCCGGCCGCTGCAGGCAGCCCAAGCCGCCCCCAGCCCCGCCCTTCGGCCCGGGTGCACCCTCACCTCTCGGGTTTTTTGCAGGATCTGCTCCAGCAGGATAAGGAAGTGGCCGGGGTCCCTGCTCACCAGCTCCTGGAGGCTCCAACAATTCAGACACAGCCCAGCTGGAAAGAGCAAGAGAGGTCAGCTCTGGCCACTGTCGTTGTAAAGAGAGGGCATTGGCCCAGAACATTTTTTTCCAAAGGGAGTGTGTCTCGGAGAAGACGGTGGACCAACACTCAACCCTCCAGTGCCCCATGAAGACTTAAAGACCGGCTTTCTATTCCTGCACCTGCAGCAGGCTCAAGAGGCACAGGGGTGGCAGATCTGGCCGGGATCCTCTTTAAAGGCCCATGAACTTGGCACCCTCTAGGGAGCTCCAGTTCTCCCTCAGCCTCCCCGGCCCTGGTCTCCTGTAGTGGGCGCTGGTGCCCATGCGATGCAGACACAGCTGGCAGAATAAAGAGAGCTCCACCCCAAGATCAAGTCCAAGTCTACGGCCACCACGGGGCTTCCGGGACGGGTGGGTGCCTCGCCACTCTGTGGCTTCCCCAGCCTGCCTTAGGTTGTCAGTCTCCTTTCCCCTGAAACTGGCCAGGGCCAACCCCTAAAACGTAAAGGAGGGGTGCGAGTGCGAGTGCATGGAAGTGTGTCTGAGTGTGAGTGGGCAAGTATGTGTATGACTGTGTGTGCCTGGGTGTGCACAAGTGTGTATGTGCATGAGTGTGTGAGTGGTATACGTGTGAATGTGACTGTGTATGTGGGAGTGAGTGTGTGTGGGTGTTGAGTGTATGAGTGTATGTGTGTGTAACTGGGTATGTGTGAATGTGTGTGTGTTGTGTGTGACTGTGTGTGTGGAGTGTGACTGTGTGTGTGTAGTAATGTGGTGTGGGTGACTGACTTGTGCAAATGCGTGTGACTTGTGTGGGTGGAGTGTGTGTGGAGTGTGAGTGTTGTGTGTGGAGTGTGTGTGGAGTGTGTTGCATAGTAATGTGTGCGTGACTGTGACTTGTGCAAATGCATGTGACTTGTGTGTGTGTGAAGTGTGAGTGCTGCATGTGACTGTGTATGTGGAGTGTGTGTGGAGTGTGAGTGCTGTGTGTGACTGTGTGTGTGACTGTGTGTGTGTGTAGTAATGTGTGGGTGACTTGTTTGTGTGTGGTGTGTGAGTGCTGTGTGTGACTGTGTGTGTAGTGTGAGTGCTGCGTGTGACTGTGTGTGTGGAGTGTGTGAGTGTGTATGTATGTGAGTGCTGTGTGTGTGGAGTGTGTGTGTGTAGTAATGTGTGGGTGACTGTGACTTGTGTGAATGTGTGTGACGTGTGTGTGAGCATGTGTGTGGAGGAGCGAGCACAGGACGGATGGAAGAGGGCTGGCCAGGAATTTCATGAGCTCAGGTTGCAGGTCCCCTCTTGTCTGGAACCTGCCCTTGAACTGTGCTCCCACTCTCCTAAGCTTCTGTAGGACTTGCAAAACACAGGGACCTCTGCATTCCTTAACTTGACCACGTCCTCCTCTTCCCAGCTCTGTGAGCTTGGGCCCCTTCAAAACCCAAGGGGGACCAGGAGAAGCGCCTGGCTCCTGCCTTCGGATCGGTGCGGTGCGCTGGCTGCACCGCGCCGGCCATGTGGCCATTGGAGGGTGAACCAACGGGAATGGAAGACCTTTCTCTCTGTCTCTCTCTCTCTCATTGTCCACTTTCAAAAAAAAAAAAAACAAGGGGGAGGCAGGAAGGGAAACCACCGTTCACTGGCCTCCTACGATGGCCCACACGGCACTTGGCTTTTGCGTATGTTTCTCTATCCAGTCTCCCACCTTTCCCTCGGGCAGGTGGTTCTTATTGCACCCATTTTACAGACCAGGCAAGTGGGGCCCTGAGAGAGCAGGTGGCTTTCACAACGTTGTACAGATGAGAGCGAGTTTTGATCCAGATCTGCCGAATCCCCAAAGTCAGGGAGAGCTCTCAGAGGAGGGGAGAATGGAGCTGAGACTTGGCTGGGGAGAAGCCAGCTCCAGACATTTCCAAAGCAAGAGTTCCAGGCAGCAAGCACGAAGGTTCTGGGGTAGGAAGGAGTCGGGCTGGGTCGTGGCACAGTGGGTTTTGAGCTCACTGAGTACTGAGGGAGGAAGTGACAAGAGGATGTGACAAATCTTTTCCAGTATATGGAATGATTGCAAGGAGGGAGGCACAGGCTGCCCCAGCCTGCACATACGTAGCATATTTCGCCACCCTGGGGAACTCAGAACACTTTCAAGGTCTCCTGCTCCCTGGAGCTCTGCGGAGCTTCCCGCTTGTTCTCTCGGGGGAGGAGGCTGGGGTCCTGGGGTGGGGGTGGGGCACTAGTAAAAGGAGGATGCCGGGGAGAGCTCCCTGTGTATTCTCATCTGCTGCCTGGAACCCCTGGCTGTGGAATTTCTCAACAGGTTAAAGGAGCTGGGTTTCTAGCACACGTAAAGGAGGAGGAAGATTTCCCAGGGGGAAGGGAGGTGACGCCATGCACCAAGGATTTACTGGACAGCAGGTGCTGGGCTGGGCGCCTGTGCGAGGAAAAATCCAGGCTCTTGTTCAAGTCACGCAGTTGGGGTTGGAAGCACAGTCTCCACTTCCACGCCTGACCCAGTGCCCACCCTGGCCCCTGTGGCTTCCCTGCCTCCCCACCCTGAGACCTACCTGACCAGGAGGTGGAGCGGCGGCCGAGGCTGAGTCCATGCAAGCAGCGGTCCAGGGCGTGCTGGATACGGTCCTCCGTGCACGTCGTGGCCCCCGGCTGCATCCTGAGTCATCGCCTACACGGAGCACAGACACCGCTCAGCCTGGAGCTCGCCCGGCTCGGGGCGCACAGCTGCAGGGCGCAAGGGCTCAGGGGCAGCAGCCCAGCCTGGGAGTGTTGTCAAGTGCCCAGGGAGTGCCCCAGAAATGCCCAGGGAGTGGCCAGACCCCAGGGGACTGGGCAGGAAGACCCCCAAGGGGGGAAAACCAGAATCATTGGGGGGATTTTTTTTTGGATTTCCAGACATGCATCGCCCTCCTGCCCGGGAATGGAGTGTGCTGGGCGCACAGTGTGCTGGGCGCTCCAACCCTCAAGTGCAGGGGGAGGAGGGGAGCTTGTCCTCACACATCCCCCCCCCCTCCTGCCACAGCCTCTGCCCGGGTGCCCGGTCACATGCACCTGCTTCTCCCCTGCCCTGCCCTCCACTTCCGCCATCCTCTCTTTCCTTTCTTTGAGACTTGGCCACACAGCCAGTTACCCCAAGGCCCTGCCTGGTCACTTTTCCTGGTCGGATCTAGGAGAGCACAGAGGCTGCTTAGCTCAGCTGGGAGGCTGATTTCAGAAGGCTCATAAGAGGCTCCCGCAAGACCTCTCCGCTGTCTTGATTCTGTGTGACGGTGCCCTGTGCCCCTGGGAAGCCACAACAGTCAGTCTGGCACAGTAATTCAGCCTGGCTGTGGCATCCAACAGACTGGGACGCAAATCTAGACCCTGCTATTTGCTAGCCTTGTGATTTTGGTAACTTCTGGAATTCTTCCAAACCTCAGTTTACTTATCTGCAACATGGGGGGAGCAGGGAACAGGGCTGACAAACACACTGCTACAGTCTGAAAGGTAATCGCTCTTGCCTAGGGTAATTTCAATGCATCCACCGCTTCTGGACAGATCCTGTCACCGACCAGCCGGGTCAAGCTCACGGGGAAAGCCAAGGAAGTGGTGGTCCAGCTCTGGGGATCTGGGGATGGACCAGGAAACCAGAAGAGGAAGCTCGGAACACAAAGCTGAGCCATGCAAACGACATGCAAAAAAGACAGGAACTCCCAGCTGGAGCCCAGCTGCAGAGAGTCCTGGGGGACTCACAGAGCTCCCCCTAGGCAAATCCTCCCACTTCCCCAGCCTGGAGGAAGCCAGGTGTCCAGGGAAAAAGTCAGCCCTTTGGGAGCTGTCCAGCATCACTTCATTGATGTCCCTTGGAGCCCAGGTGTTACGAAGCTGGGATGGCATGGTGTTGGGTGGCATGCATGCATCCATTCTGTCACTGATCTACTAACAACCTACTGGGTGCCAGGCACTAGGCACACAGCACACAGCAAGGGTGCAACAGGCATGAAATACAGACTGAAAAACTGAACAGACACACTTGGCCAATGGATACAAAGTTATAGTTCAGTAAGAAGAGTACTTTCTGGTTATCTTTGCACAGTAAGGTGATAGTAGTCATTAACAATATATTACATATTTCAAAACAGCTAGACAGGACTTTGAATGTTTCGCTGCAAAGAAATGACACGTTTGAGCTGTTGAGTATGCTAATTACCCTGATTTCATCCACTATGTATATATACAGGTACCAAATGATTGCACGGCACCCATAAATGGGTACAATTATGAGACGTCCATATAAAAAAGAAGAAAAGGGGTGAGGGTTTGGCTCAGCAGTTCAGCCACCACTTCAGCTGCCCACACCCCACCCTGGAGTTGCCTGGACTTCCAACCTGGCTCCACTCTGGATCCCAGATTCCCGCTGATGCACACCCTGGGAGGCGACAGGTGGTGGTGCAAGTACTAGGTCCCTGCCACCCACGTGGGTGACCTAGATGGAGCTCCTGGCTTTGTTCCAGTCTCAGCTGCTGTGGGCATCTGGGGAGTGAACCAGCAGATGGGAGTATGCGTTCTCTCCTCTTTTGAAATAAATTAATAATCTTTTTTTTTTTAAATAGGGAGATAATCCCTGAAGGTGACGCATGTTGACACGTGATTGGAGAGGGATGAATGGAAAACCCACTCCAGGTGGTTGGGGGCCAGGGAGGTAGAGAGAGAGCTTCTGCCTGCTGGTAGATTTCTCCAATGCACACAATGGCCTGGACTGGACCAGGTCAAAGCCAGGAGGCTCCCCCCACCAAAATAAATCAATGCAGGTCTCCTGTATGGATGGCAGGGAACCAACAACTTGAGTCAATACTACCATCATCCAGGGTCAGTATTAGCAAGACGCTGGGGTCAGCAGCCGGAGCTGGGATTTGAACTCAGGCATTCTGATATGGGACTCGGGCATCCTAACCAGTGTCTTCATTGCTGGGCCAAACGCCCATCCCTGGGGAGGTCTTTCCGAAGCAGGGACATTGAAGCTGGAGTAGGAAGCCAGGAGAAAAGGGAGGGAGAACATTCTAGAAAGAAAAGGTAGCAGATGTCAAGGCCTGGGTGCAGAATTAGACCTAGATTGTGGAGCACAGGCCAGGGTCCTGGGCCAGCCTCGGACACAGCCTAACTTCCCAGGTCCCACGCCTCTGGCTGTGGAAGTCATGAACCAAGCTCAGAAAAACTTTCAGGGGCCATGGGACTTGGGCATTTCCATTCTCCAAAGACCCATGTAACTTTTGCAATCACCTTTGGGACTTTCATTGATTGATTTTAAAGGCAGAGTTACAGGAAGAGGGGAGAGAGAGGGAGAGAGAGATCAACTGATCTTCCATCTGCTGGTTCTGGTTCACTTCCCAAATGGCTGCCACAGCCAGGGTTGGGCCAAGCCAAAGCCAGGAGCCTGGAACTCCACCTGGGTCTCCCACATGCGTCTGGGGACCCAAGCACTTGGGCCGTCCTCTGCTGTTTCCCAGGCACATTAGCAGGGAGCTGGATGAGAGGCAGAGCAGCTGGGACTCGAACCAGTTCTCCACCGCAATACGGGATGCCAGTGGAGGTTTAACCTGCTGTACCACAATGCCAGCCCCAACTTTTGGGACTTTCAGATGGGGCAGATTTCTGGGGCTGACTCAGCCCCTCCCTCCCTCTGGATCGTGTTGGAACCTGGTACAGATGAGCAGCCATAGAGTAACACCTGTGTGGAGGCCACCCCTTCTGCTTCTATGGCAGCTCAAAGACGAGAGCATCACAGGCATGGCCCTACCCAGAGTGAGGACTCCCAGCACCTGCTGCAGGGGCCAGAACACTGGGCACCTTCATAGGGCTGACAAGGGGGCACGTGTGCCCTGCCCCGATGTCACAAGTTCACAGGCAGCACACACAGGAGCACATGAGCAAGGTGCCATCAGCCCACCAGCGGGTTCCTCCCTGGTCTGTCCCAGAGCAGGGTTCTGGAAGGAGTCCACACCTCTCCCTGTAGCTCCTTCATTTCACCTAGAGAGAGGTTTAAGCTCCAGAGAGGATGGGGGCTGGGCAGAGCAAACCCCATCATTCATAGGCACGTGTACTGAGCAGGACTTCTCTGCATGCCCGAATTGTGGCTCAAGGCCAAGGCCAAGGCCAAAGGTGCTAAGTGCCCTGTGTTCCAGAATCCCAAGATGCAGAGATGGGAACTCCATGGCACAGAGAAGTTAAACGACTTCGCTGAAGTCACACAGTCGGGAGGTGGCAAAGCCAGAGTGTGGCCAGGAGAAGTCTAGGCTTTTGACCACCCTAGCGTCTGCCCTTGGAACAACCAGGTGCAGCTAAACCAACTCATGGGGTCAGCGCTGTGGCATGGCGGGTAAAGCCGCTGCCTGCAGTGCCTACATCCCATATGGGTGCCAGTTCAAGTCTCAGCTGCTCCACTTCAGATCCAGCTCTCTGCTATGGCCTGGGAAAGCAGTAAAAGATAGCCCACATCCTTGGGCCCCTGCACCCATGTGGGAGACCCAGAGGAGACTCCTGGCTCCTGGCTTCGGATCGGCACAGCTCTGGCCGTTGTGGCCAATTGGGGAGTGAACCAGCAGATGGAAGACCTCTCTCTCTCTCTCTCTGCCTCTCTGTAACTCTGCTTTTTAAATAAATAAATAAATCTTTTAAAAAATAATAAAATCAAATTCTGTTTCTAAACCAACACGTGGAGAGTCAGTTCCCAGGAGCTGGATATGAGATTGAGACTCTGAGTTGCCAGGTACTGCCCTGTCTGTCTACACCGGTGCCCAGCACAACCCTGCCAGAGAGAGGAGCAGAGCTCACAGCAGTGGTGGCTGGAGTGGGGTCCACGGGACAATGACCACGGTCCAGCCATCTCCAGCCTGGAGCACGGGCACAACCACCAGAGCTGGGGTCTGTATGCCCACCCCTGCTTCCCTTCCTGTTTTATGTGAGAGACAAAGCAAGAGGAGAGCTTGCGTCCACTGGTTCACTCCCCAAATGCCCACAACAGCTGGAGCTGAAGCCAGGAACTCCATCAGGTTCTCCAACATGGGCGGCAGGGGCCCAGGTATTTGAGCCATCACTTGCTGCCTCCTAGGGTCTACACTGGGAGTGGGCAGTCAGGAGCTGGTGCTGGGAATCCAACCCAGGTACTTCCCTAGGGGACACAGGTGTCTTAACCAGCGGCTTTACTGTTAGGCCAAGCACCTGCCCCGGAGAACTGAGTTTTAAGACACACACCCCCCCGGCCCCCTCCCACCCCCCCCCCCCCCCCGCTGCAGTGGACGGGACCAGCTGGTCACGCCACGAGGCAGGACTGAGTCACCACCCTGCGTGTCCTGTGCTGTCACGGATGCAAACGCAAGCTGAAAATGAACCTTCTCGGTCAGCGCCTCAGCTGCAGCCCTGTTCTTAAGGGGACCCTGGTACTGCTGCCAAGGGGCCTCCCGGATAGCTCAGCATTGACCTCAGTGTGCTGGCAACACCTGCCATCCCATGGCTCCTCCCTCCCTTCCTGGGGCCCCTGGGGCTCCATCTCCTGCCTCGGCGCCCTGGGCTGAGCTCCTGGTGTGCCAGGCACCTTGGCATCAGACGAGCTGTCAGAAGCTTGCTTCAAGTCCTTAAAAGCAAGACGTGCGCCAGGCCTGGGCACTGGGAGTCCGAGGGAGGGGGCAGAAG